CACCGGAATCACTAACACTGCGACAGGGACCAAGATGGGTGTTTGTTGACATGGATATAACAATGCCGTGTCACGGGTCACTGTGTCGCACGAGAAAACATGCGACATTGAGATAGGTTACCGTCTCCATGGATCTGACACATTTAATACACTTTGTCGTGCCCACATGCTAGCGTCTATAAAGATTTGCTGGGGGAGGGGAACATTTTTCAAATTTTTCACGCCTTTTGTCGACGTAGAGTATATTTGCAATAGGTTTTTCTTTTTTTGAGAAAAGCTAAATGAAACCCTTGTCATCGTCAGTACAACCTCTAAAATGGTTTTCAACGTGAAAATAAGCGATTAATAAACAGACCAATTTGATGCATGAAATGCAGATATGTATTTCGTTTATTTCTTTAATTCTTTTCTTCACTTTGTACGAATGTTAGGCCTCAAGTGTATCTTTTGCACATGGTTTTATTTATGTGTTCAACAACAAAAAAATGAAAAACTATCTATAGAATTGCCTTATAATATATGGGTAAATACCACACTGGAACGTGACATAATCTTCGGTGCCACAAAGCTAAAACCAATGCTCTTTTTTCGCTGATAATAAAACTCCTCATATTTATCTAAGCGCCAATCTTCCCGGTTTCGGCAAGATTGTTTGTGATGAAAAACAAAGTGGATCATCCACCTGTACGGTCAAGGATTTAAGAGAATATTTACCAAGGCTTCCCTGAGATGCGTGTTTCGAGGAAATATGAAACAATAAGGTTTGCTCGAAGTCTGGAAAGTCAAGAAAGGTTAATTTATCAGGTCCTGGCTTCTCAAGAAAACTCAAACCTGGTCTTACCTTTACCACTGAAAAATGTCTCCATCAATCCAAGGTATTCCTGTCGTAACTATGGGACTAAAGCAGAAGCCATTCCAACTTTTTGTATAGTGATAAAAAAGAACCAATATTATCATTCAAATGAACTGTCATTTGTATTACTTGAGTAAGGCATGGAAACTTGAAGTGGAAGATAATCTACAGTGTTTTTTTCTGATAAGAAGGAACACAAAAACATCCCGTCTTCATAAAAAAAGTAAATCGTTTTTTAAGAGACTAAACATGTTTTTGGCCTATGAAGCAGGATGTTTTGACTCTTTCTCCAAGGTCCATAATAACACGCAAATATTGCTGACATTCCTTTTCGAAATTTTCAAGCTTTATGTCAATGTCAAGAACATAAACAAAACGCCTTTTTTTCAGAGAAGCAAAATAGGATCCAAAGACTTTTCTTTGTCGTCGTCAATGAAAGACCAGAGAACATTTGTCAACGTAAAAGATAATGAAAACCAACTGACCGTTTTTACAGATGGTAATGATATTGTAATCCTGTAACTTTGTTCATTTTTACTTTTGTTAAATGTGCGTAGATGTTTAACTTAAACGTACGCGTAGTTAGCTTTACTGCAAGTTAGCATTTTGTTTATTTTTGCAATTATCAACTGATGTCGATGAACAAAATAATAATAGGCCTAATCGGCGAAAGCTCAACAGTTATCCGTGTACGTGGCATCCACAAAAAATCACAGCCACAAACCAGAGAATTATATGACTAACGTCAGGTTTTTTGTGTTCTCTGAAAACAATAATAACCCAATAATGACCCGCGAAAATGACGAGCTAAGCAGCGCATGGAAAGACACTCGGGGGTCTATGACACGTGCTCACGTGCTAACATCCACTGGATATCAACCCAAACCGCACCAGGTTCAGCAGAAACAAAATACATATCAATTCTCCAAGGATGTCTATGAATGAAGCGCAATGGATCTTCTTTGTATCCACGTTCACCGCTTAGTTTTCTCCCTCTTGGGTTTTACTGGAAAATGTTTGATCACAAGATGCGCATTTCGGAGACCAAGCGGTAAACGCTAATCCTTTATGCTTGTGGTGACCGAGGCTAAAGGCATTTATCAGAGGAAATAACAAATAACAGTCATGAAAAAGTCTCGAGGTGTTTCTGCGTTGAAGTACTTGCAAAAAATAATCTCCAATGTTTCTTCCCAAGAGGAGAAACCAATAGTGTCTCTACATTCATAAGTATATCGCCGAGGGCGTTTTCTCCCTAACAATAATAATACATGAATCAGTTCGTCAACTTTCTCTGTAAATAAAAAATACGCATCTCCAATATTACAAAGCAGCTGTTCAAAGCAACTTCCCTATAATTTGTGGTGGGTAAATCACACCTAGCAATCCCCGGTAATTGTCTCAAATTCTAAAAACTTGACGCTGAAAATCTCCCTTCGATCCCTGAGAGTCAGAGACCATAACATGACAGCGTACAGTTGTTTAACGATAGAGGGGGTTGGGGGATACCATCACCCCTTGGAAATTCAGGGTGAGCAATTTGTGCTCTCCGTCACTAGTTTAACAGTTTCGAATTTCGACACCTGACCGCGTTTTGAAGAGGAATTGCAGAGGCACCGTTAGCTGTATGAAACCCAGGGTAAAATAAAGCACTACTCTTGATGGGATTCAAGCAATATCAAGCAATCGTCTCTCCAAGCGCATGCTCCCAGCATCAAACAGCAAAACAAAATAAAAAAAAATTCCTCTGGTGTAATTCGACACCCCGAGTTTCTAAGAGCATTGGTCGAAAAATTTACAGATACTGTGACTCTATCAGTCCAGCGACTCTCAGGGTAAAGTAGATCACTCGGCTCGGTTGTCTGAGATAGTAATTTCACGTGTGTGACAGCACAAACTCTCATATGATGAAGGGTGCGGTTCCGACACAATACTGAAACAACATAGGTGTCAGATCAATATGACGTCATCAAACACCCAGATCAATTTCACAGTAATTTGGTAGCCTCGACCCATTCGAACAGCAGTCCACTCTTTTACATCCAGAAAAATATAGAAAAATGTGACTAAAGCAGCTAGCCAGTTGCCGGTTTCACAAAACATGCTTTAGTCCTAAAATCAGCCTCAACTTTTAATATAAAATTTGTTCTTCTTCAGCTCAGTAATCCATAAGAGTCGACCGGGATAAAGTAAGATTTGGCCTGATAACATAGACATTTTGATTTACTTGTCATCTTGTCACAAAAAAGCGCACTATACTTAAGTACAAAGACCTGATAAAATTCCTAAGTGTTGACTGATAGAAGACAATCACATCACCCTTCATATGTTATCTGTTTGCCATAGCCACACCTTATTTGAATGTCGGCTTATATACTGATCAGCGTGCAGTGCACGGATAACTTACCTGAATATGTAAATATTGTTTACCAGTTACAAGCAGCAGCGCCGGTGACTCGGTTTCTTGACAAATAAAATTACTCATGTTTACATTTATAAATTACAAGCCATATTTATACGTATATGTTTACTGAATGGGATATTTCAACGTCCAATTGGAGCAGTTTTTTCCTCATGCAAACAACCCCCATTTAACGTCTTCATATAATGATTAGCAGGACAAAAGAGGCAGGAACTAGTAGCCAAACGCTGAAGAAAGAAAGCCTTCCAGCAGCTTTTCGACACCCTCTCTTGCTTGCAGATTCTGCACCAGAACCCGCTCGCCAAACCTATGAACAATCAGCCATAGAAGAAAATATGCAAGAACAAGAGAGAAGACTACGTGCACTGCATTGAGATATTCACCGCTGCTTCTAATAACGTCTGTGAGGATTCAAGGACACACGTATTCATATATACCCAGCACAGGGCTCATCTGCCGCGTACGGCGTCTGTAGTTTTGTATTACAGGTGAAATGATCCCACGCCACTGAAGCTTTGAGATTCACGGCGAAATATGTTTTTATAAAAAACACAATGAAAGGAATGCAATAATAATAATAATAATAATAATAATAACTATAATAATAATAGTAGTTATGTGTATGGTCGTATTGTTATTATCATTATTATTGTTATTATTATTATTACAGAGTTATTCTTGACTTGGAACATTAATAAAACATAATTTCTAAGTCAAAAATAAACTGTTTTATCTTCTTATCTAGAGAACACGATACACCCTGTATGAAAATACAGTAATAATAATAATAGCAACACAAGGAAAATACAATTTTAAAAATTTTGAATTCTATGACGAACGGCAAGAAACGGATTCAAAATCCACCCAACATTTACAAGTAATCCCTCTTCACACCTACAATTAAGTGACCCAAATAGCACGAGAACACTTAACCTATATCCTTCACTCTGTCCTTTATCCTCAATACAAACTAGAAGAGCCTATGCTACGTGTATTCGACAAAAGCCACAAAAGGATGACCTGTAGATATGCACGTATCCTATAGGTCCTAGATAGTAAACCAACATCATCTGAATAATGCATCCTTTTTTTTTTTTTTAGTAAATTGTAGCCTTCATATTTGTGGGTCGACCACGGGTGAAATAGTTCACTGATGCAGCTACAGGACCTACGGCTCGAGCTGTTGGAGTGCATGTGCGTGTGTGTGCGCGCACGTGTAAACATCGACCTGTTGATTCTCAACAGAACACCCCCCCCCCCACCCCATCAATAGCAGGTGCTTTATTTTGGTCCTTTTTTGGGGGGTCAGTCCTGTAGCGGAAGGGGATACAGTGTCGCTGCCATGTGTATTCGACCCTACAGCTACCGCTTACACATAAAATCTCTATATTATATTGAATAGCCAAAGCGAACACAATTCGATGGTGCGAGTACAAATCTTAATCGTCTTAATTTCATATATAAATATGAGGGAGTGAGGTTTGACAATGGACCACGGGATACTAATCAGTGAAGTTCACATGTAGATAAGAGCGCAGAAGGCAACGTGACAGCACCTAACGGTTGTCAATCCCAGTGACCACACCCAATTAGTAGGCCTAGTCACCGAAGTCACTCACCCTTCATTTTAACAAGATTATAATCACTTTCGGCCCAGTTATAACCACCGCCACCGTTTACATCAGATTTCTTACCTTTGTGTCTACAAACGTGATAAAATTCACTCACCTTGGTTGTTTACAAAAACCCCCGGTTTATTCTATACAGCAGGCCTGTGCTGTAACATACGAAGGCGTGCTTCCCAAGCTGGATACCGAATTAGGTCACCGAGTATTTGTCCGAATTTTGAACTTCATCGTCTTTATCGAATACATCCTGTGTATTCTTTGTGTGATTGATATTTCTGGTGTGTAGATAGAAGCGATCCGCCGCTGTTGAAGATTGAAAACACCGGCTACTGTGTCAACGAGTGAGCTCTCCCCATTACAAGGCGCAGGTGTAGCTGTTAATGTTTTTATCTGACGTCACTGGCTGCGTGCGTCGAAAATAAAGACTGCGGTTTGTGTGGGTGGAATCAGTGGAAATTTTGTACGGCAAGAGACACGGGGTTGTCTGGGGAGTTTAAACGTATCCAATAAAGCCTTAAAAATAATTCAATGTTTCACAGTTTTTTTTACTTAGACAAGGCTGTATTTCACTTAGTAGTATGACTTCAATAGACATTAAAATATCTGAAGAAAAATGAAATTCTTTTCATATGCAGGCTTGAAATTGTTAGCTTTTTTACACATTCCTTATACATTTTTCTTTCAGCATATAGGCCTACTCGTAACTGCAACAAAGTCTTTCATTTTATTCTTGGCACACCAGTTTACTTACGATCATGAAGCATTTCGTTTCAGGCTGGGGTTTGGGTGAAAGAAATTTGAGATAAATATCATTTAATAGTTCCCTGAGCTTTGGAATTGATGCGCATAGCCCTATACATTTTCATGTAGGCCTACATGTAGCCCTATAAAGGGTATGCTAACCATCACTATCAGCTTCATGTAAGTGGTTAACCGACCATCAATTTTTAATTGAAAATTTCGGCACGTATGAAGCTCAGGGTATTTTTAAGTGTCAAAATTAATGAAATGTATCATCTGGAGTTAACCAGGATGGATGGACGTACAATTACCATTAGGTATCATGAATATCCCTTTTTCCAAAATGACCTCCCCCCCTCCATATCCGTTAACTTCCTCTCTCGGTGTAATTGAACAAACTTTGTGCTCGTTTAATCATGTGTGTCGGCGCCTCTTTCTCTCTCTCTCTCTCTCTCTCAGTCACATGTTGGACGCCTTGGCATCGTCCTAGCTTCCACACACCCACTCCAGTATTTCAAGAACCGCTGAGTTTAGCTTAGGCCTATATTTCTATTATTTGAGGAAATTATTCACAGAACCTTGTTTGCAAAACACACGTTTTATAACTTTTGGTGGGTGAGTAGATCTGTGTGTGTGTGTGTGTGTGTGTGTGTATGTGTGTGTGTGTTTTGTTTATTTTCCAAGTGCGATAGCTGACAATATTTTTTAATTGTCACACCTGACACAATCAAATTTATCGACGACTACCTGATCAAGATTTGATTAAAGTCAGAGGTTTAAATAGCGCCCCCTTACGGTACAATTTATTCAGCAGAAACTGAACAGCCTGCGCCAAATGCAAAATCCTATTTTTAAAAGTTCATCTTATAAGTTTGGGAAAAGGGGGTCAAGGAGTAGGGCATATAGACGGAGGGTCAGTCTTTAACTTTTGTTTAACTCCTCTGTCTACAGTTGTTCTTATAGAAGAGGTATAAATTAACATTTATGGGTGAAAACATATTTTGGACGCTTTGGTAAAATATAAACCAAAAGAGGGCGCTACTGTTCAATGTCACCTTTCTTTAGTGTTGGGTTTTCCAAGTAGCTAAATAGCTACTATATATGTAGGGGCATGGAGCTCATTGGTTTTTCTATTCAGGTAATACACTGTTGTATCTGTACGTGTAACCTTACTATTCAGAACAAACCCCATTAACATTGGCATTAAGGAGACAGGCATACGACACATTCAAATATTTTCCCGTGACACGTCCCATTTAGTCTCATTTCACATGAAGCCTATATAAACACCTGATAGACCAGGTTATGTTTTCAAGACTTTACGTACCAGTACATATAGGTTATCATGTAGCCGTGTTATATATAGAGCTCTGTATTTACATACAAAGCGGCGACCCAGTTCAAGCTGTCAAATATAAACAAACCGCATTTTGCGGGACACGGCAAACAGAGTAGCTAACAGACGGGGCCTGCGAGGGAAACCCGCGCTCGACGTACCAAAACACTCCGTGGATGGATTCTCGCTGATAAATATTTCGTGGAAATGAGGTGTTGTTCATCGCCTCTCTCCCTTTCAATTAATTTAAAAAAATGAAATTCGAAAAAATTATATTTTGATTCGATTTTTAAGTCATTATTTATTCACATTAATAATTGACAGTTAATAATATACTTCTGAGATTTTATTTTTAATAATTAACAAAATATAATTAATAATTGACAGTTAATTATATACCTCTGAGTCTTTCTTTTTAATAATTAACAAAACTAAGTAATAATTAATTTTTCAAAACACGTGCCCGATGCTTTTAGTATTTTCCATTACTACAGTATTATCTCTGTTAAATCAAAGTTATTAGATAACACCTAAATAATTGATTAGGGTAACACCTAAATAATAATAATAAGAAGAAGAAAAATTCGAGTTTTCATTATCATCACCATCATCATCATCATCATCATCAGTAGTAGTAGTAGTAGTTAAAGCATGATACGGTATAAAAATGTATCGTACGTTAGTGTGGTATTGTGTTCTGAAAATTCTCCGTTATACACAAAGCTTTCAGGCCATGCGTGCTGAAAGGGGGAAAAAAGAGATTTTCAGCATTTAGAGGGTTTCCCTTCTCTTTACCTGTTGACCTTGTGTAGCTTGAACGCTGAGTCATGCAGAAAAGTATTTCTTTTTTTTTCGATGAGAGATCACAAACCAGACCTCTCTTCTTCCCAGAACAATATTGTACGGTAAACCCAAATATCAAGCGTCATAAACCCAAGCCCAAAAGTAGGATGAAAAGTAGGTTTTGACGTTACTGAAACATCTGTTGGGCATCTGTTAAAAAAGGAGAAAAAATAGGAAAAAGTGCATGAATCATCCCCGTGCACTCGAGATGCCATGGTAAAAATAATAATAGTCTTGCACCCATTAATACTACTAATGTGTACATGTAGTTTATAATGGATCCAAGTGACAGTGTAGATTAACGAACCGCATCGGATGAATAAGACTCCTGCTTACTCAAGCCTGGGGGGACAACTAATATAAAACACGCGCCTTTTGTTTCAACTGAAAACTTATGTTTTGAAACTCACTCTTTGTCGTAGTTCCAAAAACGCCTCCTAAGATATTATTAGAGTGGTTTCTAAGGGCTAATCTGGCGAAAATTGCCCTGCAGTGTGTTTACCATAGCTTTTACATGAATTTATGATAATCGTAAGCGATAAAAAGTTAATATTGTAAAATCTTGGACTTGAAGTACTGATTTTCACCGAGGTGAGAAGGAACTTTATTGGAGCGAGAACCGCAAGAAACAGTTTGATGTTGATTCTGAACCACGTGCTTCTTCAACAAAGAAACCGCTGAAGTATCTTCATGTACTAGGATATTGTGATGAATTAACATCTGGGCCTAGACAGCATAGGAGGTGCAAAAGGAGGACCAAACTAAACCACACGCATACCTGAGGTAAAATCAGGAAAATAACAAATTGCAACCAGGTCGCGTTTCACGGCCCAGAGGCCCCGACCCCCCCAGTTGACACCCTACGTATAGTTTGGAAATCCCAGCCTCTTCTCAGAAGGAAGTGAATACGACGAACGCTTTTGTTTGGACAGACCAAGCGCGACAAAGTTGCTTGAATGTGAAAGAAAAACATCCACGCATGGCACGTACCGATGCTGGCATAGGTTCTGAATGCGGAGCTTGGAGTGGATATTAGCCCGGGGAAACTGTCGTTTAGTGTGTGCCACTTGTAAATACAACTGAACTCAGATAAGTGGCCGGAAACTCCAGAAACTTGGTGACTAATATCTGACCGCAACGTCCAGGACCCTTACCAGATTAGGGATAATTAAGGGATAAGGGATATATTGGAGTTGTTTCACCTGGCCGAGGTGTTTGTAACGAACGTTAACAGGCACTGCATAATGGGTCCGATCTGTTACTTACCATAGGATCGTCTGGACAGTATAGTGAGGTGCTTTAAAAGCGCGTCTGTCCAATAAAACACAGGTTTTAGCCTGGTTAATCAGACCAAATCGTGCCGAAGCCAAATATTATACCTGCAGACAAATTCAGCGGACAGTTGAAAAAAAAAAGAAAGAAAACTATAATAATTCGTCAGCAGACATGTCACACAGACAGCTCCCCCCGGGCCCCTGGACGCACTGCCGTGCCCCACCCATGCCGCTGATTATCGACGCCGAAGCCTCTGGATCCTCCGTGGGGATGATACCCCAAGCATGCATGGTTTTCCGTCCATTGCCACCAACCCCTGAACACAGCGTCCGTGCCGGCAGCGCCGCTCCTAGGGGAGCCTCCACCGACAGCGAGTCCAGCGTCACTGACGGGGCTTACGACGTCATTTACCCCCCGGGGGCGGGGCTTGGAGGGGGTGGGCCCCGGGGCGTGGGCGAACTACCCCAAGGGGCGGGTCCCCCCTTGTTTATACCGCGAAACGATTCACAGTTCACTGTTACTAGCGGCCGGTCTCTACTCTCCGATCCTGGAGAGTATAACTTGAGTCACCTCGAAAAACTTAGATACGAACACATATGCATATGCCGCCGAACATTTGTTTTGATATTTGTGTGTATATACACCTTTCTCTTACTTTCGACCATCGCTTTCTGCTTGTGGTTTTACTTGAACTACACCAGTGAACGAATGGACAATATGAGCAGCATACAAAGACTGAAACAAAACAACATTCCTCCAACGGTGTGCGTGCCCTGCCAAAAACTTGCACGGGAGACCAAAGCTGATATCTCGCTATTAAAAACTTATACGGATCGAAATGTATGCAAAGTTCGCACTGATCTAACCAAACCGCTGGTCCTGAACCTTGAGGGGAGTATCTGTACCAGCAACGCATCTGAAATTACGGAACTGATGAAGTCGGTGAGTTTTTTTTTAACGTACGCGTATAATTATTACTATTGGGCATTAACCCGGTGTATGATTTATTCATTTTTCTTATGGTCTTGGTTAATATGTAACGACTGCTAGTTTGCTGAGGATATGACTTCAGCTAAGATAAGTCCAAACAGGTGGACGAAACACACAATAGGTGTACCTGATGTAGAGTTTAATGTTAAGTAATATTAAAGGACCTTCTGCTTGTTATTTTAGTACAGGTGAAGATGGCTATATGTCATGCTAGACGCGATTTATGAGTCTTTTTAAGTAATTGCATATACTTTGATAGATATAGGGGAGACCGGGGCTAGTTGGACCCCGGGGTAAGTTGCCCCCCCCCCCCCCATCAAGTTTTATTAATCAAGTTAAATAATCATGCTAAATTATTTCATTTGGATTCACTGCCGACGCTTTCTTAGCACTATTGAATACGGTTACTTTACAAAATGATGTGATCAATTCTTTTACCCCACAGTTACTTTGTCATAAATTGATGGGGGGCCAACTTACCCGGGGTCCAACTAGCCCCGGTCTCCCCTATCACTAATCACGAGAAAGAGGGAGGGAGGGGGTTGGGGCCTGTGTGTGTGTGTGTGTGTGTGCGTGTGCGTGTGCGAGAGAGAGAGAGAGACTGAAAAAAAATATTTTAACCAATTTATGAGTGAAAAAAAAAATACAACTTCACAGTCACCTTTTTTAAAATACTTTTTAACTAAGTTCACTTTTTATTTGTCCGCCAACAGGTAGCTCTTATCTTATCCAATTGTCCCGTATGCTCATGGCTTATTTTTAGTACCAAGAAAACATTATAGATATAGATATATATAAATATTTAAATATCTTATCGGAATTTCCAAACCTGTATATACAGGTAGCTACTGTTTAGTGTGTGGAAGCGAAAGCTTACTAAGCAATAATGGACGCCCACACAATAGCCTCATTAAATAGAAACCAACCAAGGCAATTCAGGAAGTAAAAGGTTTTTATTTCAAGTAGGAAGCTGTTGAATGCTTACTGAATACAGTTGGACTGTCGTGGAGGGGAGTGAAGTATGCCAAAAAGAAGAAATGATATTTAAAATCCTCCCAAGTCATATAATAGGCCTGGAATGACGTTGAGGTAGTAGGGATGAAATAAATGATAAATTTCTTAAATGCATCACCTCTAGATCCCACATTCCCACAGTGACTCCAATACACAATGCATTCAGTGTATGTTAAAATTAACCTACTTTTTACATATGATATACAGCCATTACTAGGCATCGACATAAAAAGAAAAAGTATCCCCACATATGCAAAACTGTTTTTAGCACGAGAACAGTTCATTTGACTCTGTCTACAAATCATTATCATTTCAACAAATAGAATCATCATAATTGTCCGTAAATTGTAATGATTATTTCTCAACTAATATTTCAAATATATTTTGAACTCTGGCACTCGAAAAGAAAAAGAAAGAAAGAAAGAAAGAAAAATAAGAAAGAGGTAAGAAGAAAACATGAAAACGGAGAAAAAAGAATGAAGAAATGAAAAACGAATGTAGTGGAATAATAATAATAAATGGAGAGTTGTTAATTGAGTGAGTGAGCGGGAAAGGGGATCGTTCATTACCATCATAATTCATGTCTGCGGTTCACAGATTTACACATTATGAAACTGCGGTTTTCTTATTCAGGTGGTCGTGGCAGAGTTCGGTCGTGACTTTCATCACAAACAGAACGACATGGAAGAAAAAATCACTACAATCCAAGGTAAGATCCGGCACACACTGAACCAAATCTGTTTTTAATGTCAAAAGACACCGGGCCACGTTACTCCCGCTTCCGTCTTCTCTCCTGAACTAAATAGCCCCGGCTTTCATACAGCACTTTATCATGTAAAGTAATGGGAAAATTCGACCTCGTAGCTCAGACACCGAAAGGTGCGGAATTTCATTCAGTTTTGTGGGTTCCATGTCCTCTCTCCCTTTACATTTGTGTTCTAAGGTCGTCAATGGTTTAGTTATAATCTAGAATTTTAATTCTTGAAAGTTCGAATTGACTGGTAGGGTCAACTCTCGGTACTGCATCAATTTCCATAATGATAAAAACAATAATAATAATTATTATTTTATTTATTATTGTATGTACAGAATAATAAATAAAATGAAAATAATAATCATTATTATCAAAATGTATTTATGTGTAAAAACCTTTCAATTTCTTACCATTCAAAGCTGCGTTTCACACGCGTTAGGCGTCATTAAAACTTTAAAGAATTAGTGTTGAACCTGTATGACATGCAAATTTTCAAAATACAAATTCAAATTAATGCATTTAAGTTTTGATAAAAGTGTCACTTTATTTCAGAACGCCTTGACGCGCTAGGCCATATAAACAGTTCCAGACCTTTAAATATACCGCTGGTCACTCCGCTGCCTAGGACAACGACCACGAAGCGTCCAGCACCTGTGGCTCACGTCATCGGCACGTGCAGTAAAACGTCTCCGGGGACACGAGGTTCTGATTGTAAGTTTCTTTTCCTTCTTCTTCTTCTTCCCTCTCTCTCTCTATCTCGCCCCAGTCCCTACCGTAGAAATGGAAAGACAACAAAAACAAGGTTTTACCTGATAAACTGAAGTTACACCGATATTGAGTAAAGACATCTTTCATGAAACTTTATCACTTAAAAGTATCTACTCCAATTGCAGGCGAATTACACTGGGAAGATGACCCAAGCAGCTCACAAAGCCACATTAATAAGGGCGGCGTGACGCTGGAAGATGGCTACCTAAAGGTTCCTCGTCCCGGTTACTACTACGTCTACAGTCAACTCTGTTTCAACGTGCAAACAAATCGGCAAGGCCACGCCACGTTCGAACACTTTCTACAGAGAAACTGTGCAATTCCCTTATCGGACAACCGTCATATCTTGTTCCAAAACTGGAAGCACATCAACCTGCAGACCAGTCACGAACACTGCAGTTACCTTGGCGGCGTGGTCGAAATGGTCAGAGGGTGTGGGGTGGTGGTCACTGTTACAGGTGGCCAGTTCTTGACCCCTAATAAGCATATGAATTACTTTGGTCTGTATTTCATCGAGGGTAAAGAACAGATGTAAGGGGGAGACCAGTGTGACGTCAAAACCAGTGTGACGTCAAAAACTAGCGTGACGTAAAAATGCTGTCCCATCTTTTCATGACAGCTAAGAGAAAAGGGAGCCTTTTTAATCGAGAGGAGGGCATACCATTTTATTGCGCTCGCGCATGTTGTGTATTGCCGTAAAAAAATCTACATTTTAGTCTCCTGCACATTGCTCATGCATTTTTTTCTAAGGTAGTCTATCTGTCATATTTTAAGGCTGGTAGCTATCTGAAAATGATTAGTATTACCCACGTCGCTTTTTTATTTGATATAAGACAGACTGTATATTTTTTGGTATAACGTTTTCTTTTTTTAATTTTTCATAACGAACTGGGCAGAGTTTACATCTTGCCTTCAGCTTAAAAACCCGGCCAATACTTCATGTCCACTGTATATTTCACAATGCCCTCTGTCCAGTAGTTGTGGTCAGTGTCACATGTCCAGTATCAGAGGTCAGTTGGACGAGTCACAACACTGTGGTCAGTCATCCATGCCCCATGATTCATAATATAAGTCACATTCATGTTTGAGATGGCATCGCTTTAATTGTACGACAACAGTAGATGCTGCCGAGATTGTATATGTTATATTGGTGCTTAAGACATTTATCATATGTGTTTTAAAAATTACACGCTTCTTTGTGGAGGTGCGTGGATGGGGTGTGGATGGGGGTAGATAGGTCATTGATTCACACAGGGTAATTTAACATGGGGTATAACGATGTTGTTTAGAGCCCCTGTTACACCGGCTTGCCACTGCTTCATGGAAGTTGAATTTTATTTAGTTCATAGTCACAAATACGTTACACGTTACAAAGGAAAATTTGAATGAATTCACTCAGATATATCGGCTGGATGTATGACTTTGATGTTGGCTATTAAAATTTTGCCCTTGAATCAACTTTAAAGGGTGAAACATTGGGGGAAAATCGTAAGCGGTCGGTAGTCCGTAGGCTAAAAATAGACGCAGGCCGTCCTTTTTGCCTTTGCTTCCAAGTTGTAATTCTATATAAATTATTCTGTGATGGATGTTAATATTTTGTAAATAAGGTCATGTACAATATGATATAAATGCAAGAGTGGACGGTAGAGCACATAGATAAAAGTGAAAAAATAAAATTATGTGACTCATCGTAAGTGTTCATATTTTGAATGAGCAGTATATATTATATTTCATATGATTTTATATAGAAAACTGGTCAACAATACCAAAAGGAAATGCAAAGACATAGTTTTTAGGAAATGTAAAGAATAAATGAACAGACAAAAAAAAAATGTAGACTAGCTAGGGAGAAGATCGAGAGTGCAAACATCAAAATGACAATAAAATGAATTTAAAGTTTATATTTGGTCCGTATTTCATCGCGGATAAAAGAACAGACGCAAGGGAGAGAAATATCCCGTTCCTTTTTTGTGATTTTGATTAGAATATACTATTCACAGATTGCATTATTAGTGTTATTATAATTATTATTAATCCTTTTAAAATCTGGCAATCCATGAAGAATTGGATAAATAGGCCTATGTAGGCAAAACAGCACTGTGTCTTGAAAATAGTGAAATAGACCTGTTTGTTTCAATTATGAATTGATTTTTTTCTGTCTCTGTAATTTAAAAGAGGGGATTCTTTGAAGTAATTCCTAAATTTTTGGTCAATACTATTCTTGGAAAGCAATTTAAACACGAAACTGACAGAATCGTCGACGTCATCGTAAAAAAGGCAGAAATTAAGGATATTGAGTTCGCGAGATAGGAATTCCATATAGTAACTTGCATAATACCCCGGCTGATCCAGTTTTCACAAGGGGGGGGGGGGTGCAGAAGTTTTAACTTAAAAGTTTTGAACATATAAAATAATTACTACGGCAATTTTGATGTAACATCGTGTTACATATGAGGCACAGAAATGGGAATTATGCTTGGTTTAATCTACTTTCGCCTCTTGTACAGTATATGTGAGGGAGAAGTACTACAGTGTACCTCCAATGATGAGCCCCCCCCCTCCCCCCCATACACCATGGTACTTCACTTCGAAGCATATGCCCATTTTTAGAAAACGAAAGAATGACGTAGTGCAGTCAGTAAAAATGCGTGATAGAAACAGATGTTAATAACAGAGAAAAGCAATATTTCTTTCTTATTATGTGTTATTTCATTTTTCTTTCATATTTCACAACTTCACGTAAGGGACAAATGAGGGAATTTTTTCTGCTGTATTTGTATCAAAAAGCAGCTAGATTTCCCAAACGCGGGCAATCTGGTTTCCTTTTCATAATCAACAATGGTGATGGGTCACGTGGTACGTGCGTCATGTTTATATTAAGATACTCTTCGGGGAGGTCGTTATTTTCGAATGTGTCTGCCTAGGCTGTCTATCTGATAATTAGAGGCTTTACTTCCTTGATCTGTGACTTCACCGCTAGGTGTTACGGACCTTACTTCAGATGCTAGTGAACTAAGAGATTTCTGACTTTGTCTACCATGGCTACGACCTTTAACGACTGCGAGAAGCAAGACAAATTCGACACTTGCGACGACCAAAGCTCTCAATCGAGTCAGAAGGGCCTTCTCTCTCATGACAACGTTAAATTTGCTAGGTCGACCGGTGCGTTCTCTGGCCGATGCGTCGTCGTCTTGATCAGTCTGTTGGTTGTTTTTCTTCTAGTTTTGTGTGCTTTGGTGATTTATCTGGTTTTTCAGCTCCGCTGTTTACGTGATACACGAGAGGAGTTGCATTGGCAGAAAAGCTGTATACCATGCGACGCCATTGTCTCCACGTTCAAAGAGGACAGCTCGGCGTTGGGGTATTTTCAAAGAAAGGAGAAAGATGGGGTTGAGTATTGTTGTGGAAGCTCTGCTGGTGAATTGACACAGGCATTGAAATCGGTACGTATGTTTTGGGAGACATTTTAGGTTAAATTTTTTATTTACTCTCTTTCATTTACTCTCTTTTCTTCTGTCTCTATGGACTTACATTAAACCATATGGATCACTTAAAGAAAGACAAGTAGGCCTAGGTGTGAAAGGTGTCAGCAGTTTTGATACAAAATGTCACAGATATAAAATATGCCAAGATTTTCCCAAAATATGAAACATTAGGCATGGAGAGTGCCCTTTCGATTTTTCTGTTGATTTGTACGGAAGGAGAATAATAGCATAGGGACTTCACCGGGTGGCCATCGTGAGATGCAAGGTAAGTTTCAGGAAGTGACACAACCCTAGCTACGGTTGGCTGATGTTGACAATGAATCACTTTAAAGGTAATCTAAATAGGAAAAAGTTACAGCTCATCATTGGGAAAAACCGACTTATTTTGTTCAAATGGCATGTCTTGTGACTTTCTTACCAGAATTGGCCAGATATAATCTGAAGAAAATAGGACTAACGTTATATACATTAACAAAGCGGATTTGAAAAATTTGTCTTGCTGTGTCATTTCGAAGAATTTTTTTCCACTTCCGCTTTTCTGTTATTCATTCTTCGTCCTTGTCTTTTCAAAATATGACACAGATTGATGTTTTTCAGGTTGTTGGCAGAAATATTGAGGAGAAAAAATCAGAAGGTAAAAATAGTATTATTATTAACAAATAAATGATCAGTGTACTAGTAATGATTTTTAAAAGGGCTCATAGTCTTATAATACACAGCTGTATTAAACTACATTAAAATGAACTAAGGATAGTTTGACCAAATGTGTTTTTTATGAAACCAATATTTATAGGCCCCTTAGAATATCAGTAAACTAAACACCTATTTCTGTTAAAAATCGGAAGCAAAAGAAGGCTATTCTATCTACATGTTTATGCCAATAATTTTTTAGTATGCCATTATATTTCCAAAATTTCATTAAAAAGCAAATGTGCGCGTTACCTCAGGATTTCCGTCAAGTTTTCACAACAATAAAAGTTGGTAAAGTAATTGACACTATAATTTACTGTTCCCATCACAGTCACAGGATGATTTTTCACTTCATATTCACAGATATATCTCTGGCTAATTAATGGCTGTATTCTCTACTCGTGTTGGAGAAAAGTGCACATAATTTATCTGCGGGGAGGTGGTAATAAAATGTAATTGAGAAGGGACTGACAGCTAAATCATACCATGCCACTATGCAGTGCCCAGATGTGAGTTCACACGGCAGTTCACCACTTTCAGTCCAGCTTTCTTCTCCATTAATTTGTGGTCAAATTTCATTCCACTATATATATATATATATATATATATATATATATATATATATATATATATATATATATATATCAATGTACAATAAATAAATCAAATAACAAAGATTATAACAATAACATATATATAAACTGGGAAAAATAAATGGAATTAGAGAAATAGATAAAATAGATAGAATTAGATAAATAGATAAAATCAGAAATGTGAATGAAAAAAATTAATGAAGAAAAAAGGTAAATCAAAAAAGTATCACAATAAAAAAGAAATGAGAACTTAAAATTCCCAAAGAAAAGAGTTTCCGACATTTTCCTTTAACAATAAATACCATTTCATCTCACTCCTGTAGAAAGCTGGGAATCTGATAATTTTCTCTGCGTAAAATAGTTGTATTGAACTGTATTTAGCAGGATTGTGTCGTATAATGCAAACCGAGCGCAAACTTGTTTTATTTCGATGCAAATATTAATAAAATAATTTTAAAAAATATCCATGTGCATTTCTTTTCCAGGTGAATTCTGCAGACCAGAGCATCTGTTGAAGAACAGCACTAACATCCCTGATCAGAAACCGGCGGCTCACTGTGTGCAGAACCCACACGCTCCCAGAACACCTAACCCAGGCATGTGGCGGCTGTAAAATTTATCTCATTTTTTTCTTTGAAAAATATTCTCAATTTTTTTTCAATTCAAAAGAAGTGGGTTCTCAGACACACAAGAACCCTGTGTTTATAGTTTTTTATCGTATGGTACATGACGATGTTGGTGAACATTAATATTTATTTTTCACTTTCCCTTGTTAAGATCAGGGTCATATAGAAAATATGAGCAGTACATGGCTTTTGTCGGTGATGTAGGTTTTGTAACCGGGGGTTCCACCGATCTCGTCACTGGCTGAGTTATCCCCTAGATTTAAGTTAAAACTGATGCCATATCACGCATAAAGATGTACTATATTAAACTCTTCTCTATCATAAATTATAGGTGGCATTAAGCAAGCAGTGCGCAGTTGGCTGGAAGAAGGCCGTGGTGCGTTCACAAGAAACGGCGTGACGTACAAAGGTGGTCACCTGACCGTCCCACACACGGGGTTTTATTACGTGTACAGTCAGGTTTATTTCTCACACGAAGACAAAAACGGCACGAATCCCCGCAAAAATTACGACTATACCCAAGAATTGTCTCATTACATTAATAGAGTTAATAGCGTACTTGGAAATTCCCGCGAGACTTTGTTGATGAACTTGCATTCTAAATGCACAAACAGAGATGATATGCATTTCTGGGAGCACACGAGCTACTTGGGGGCGGTGCGTCATTTGCGACAGCATGATGAAGTATTTGTTGAGGTGTCGAATTTGACTCTTGTGGAACAATCACCCAGGATCAGTTACTTTGGTTTGTACATGGTTTAATCGTTTTCAAATGTTGGTCATTTCTTTATATTGTGCCATTATTGCAATACTTTTGTATGAAACCCGATATCATAGTGACTATATCTTTTTGACGGTTGACCAACATTATGGACATTTTTAACTATGTTTGATACTCGTGCTCCTGTCTTTCACAAGAATCAAATGTTTTCACCTAGTTTGGAAACTACTTCACGGTGACAGCTCTATCGTGTTAGAGTTTATACATTTCTTCAAAATGTGCATAGATAAAATATTGCACGTATTGTATAATGAAAACGTTTTTCTGTGTATATTAGACTCCGTTCACATGAAAAATCTATTTTCTATTCGCGGTATCTTGTGATCACTTCGAGCGCAGCTGAGAATTAATTACAGCTTTGGAGGTAACTGGATCGCGCTGCCAATAATTACACCGTGGGGTATTCAGGGCACAGACTGTGATCACAAGATACCGCGAATAGAAAATAGATTTTTCATGTGAACGAAGCCTTAATGCCTTAAAATGATATTTTATAGAAATGTGTAATCTCTAACATGTGGCACAGGCAACATAAGTCCGACCCTTGTTTCGTAAAGAGGCCACACAAATGTATTTACTTTGGTGTATAAGAGGGCTTATATTAATTGATGCACTTTATTACATAAAATGTAATTAATGGTTGTGTCAAAAGTTTTTTTAGGGTGATGTGTATTTGTTATATACTATACTTAATTTTGTTTACATCAGTTAGCATGCAGTGTAAATTATAATGCTGTTTTAACACTAGATCTCCTTTCAAAGCTAAGAGACGGAAGAGAGAGAGAGAGAGAGAGAGAGAGAGAAAATAACATGGATATACAGATTTGCTTTTTGACAAATATAATATATTTTTGTAATTTTGCATTTTTGTTCATATACTACAACCAGTAGTAGAGCAGCTGACCATGCGCCATCACATTTTTGTTCTTTAGGAGATATTTCAGAGATGGACCTTCTGAAACCCAACCTCTGCTTTAAGTATAAATATCAGTATTATCTGTCAGATGTCTCCGATGAGTGTATGCTGCCCATCTTTTACATCCAGTTCTGTCCCCTGATTTCAAAAGGCATATCTTACCTCCCATTCCGACTTCCCTCATACTTTCCTTATTGTGACGCAACATGTTACTTTCTTCTCTTTTTACTGTTATGTTAAAGGACTTTCCAACATTTAACTCTTCGCCTGAAAACCTATACTTAGATCCGGTAATGATTTATTAAAATAGAAGTGAAACTATGGGACCATTCAGAATGAAAAATTTCGACCTAGCTAATACACCTTAACTTCATATACAATATAATAATAATAATTCATATACAATATACAATATAATAATACAATATAATAATAATATACAATATAATGATAATAATATTCACCGTCAGGGGAAAAAAGGCCAACAAACTTAATCTTTAAATATCTGGTGTAACCTTGACCTAATTTTTCATTTATTTTTTTGGCCCTCCAGCTCGGAAAAAAAAATCCTAAGAGAAAAATGAACTCAAAGAAATAACAAAATAAAAGCTAGTAGTATTTCTTTAACATTAACTACTTGGTAGGTTTAGTGTCAATTAATACTTTGACACGGATTCAAACATTTCTGAAAGAAAAAATGACATTCGTAAAAAAAGCTGTTTAATGGACAAAGCATAAGGTTTTCAAATCATGTTGCCATGTAAAAGTACAGAAACCACTTTCTGTTGAACTTTTGTAAGGACAAATAACACTTCTTGATCAATTTGAAATTGACCCTGAATTAATGGCGCTAAAAATAATCTTCCGAGGAAATTAACTTGCTGCCTGTCATCCATCTTGCCACAGACGTGAATCGCGCAACCTTTATACACTTTTTGTAAATTGTATTTGAGGTATTTCCTTTTTCCTCCAGGGTCTAAGTAGCGGTTTCTTATTATCAGGCATTAGTAACATTGGCATAAATAAATCAATTAGGGCCTACATCAGAGGCCATTGCTCGAGGCGTAATTTAAAAACTCACAGACTTTTTGATTGTCCAGTTTGTTACAGAACTGAGTCATGGCATATTTGGTTGGTAAAATTTGCAAACAACCTTCTAAGCCTAAGGGCATTCTGGCTTCCTTTTCAATATCGATAATAGTGATGGGTCACATGGTCCGTGCGTTATGTTTAGATTAACACAATACCTTCGCGGGGAGGTCGCTAATTTGAAGTGAAACTGTATAGACCAGTAATTTGGGGCTGTACTTCCTTGATTTTTACTTCACTGCTAGGATTTACGGGAGTTGCTACAGACACGGCTGACATAAGAGACAGAAAATTAAAGGAGGAGCAAATTTTGCTCTAGGCTTATAATTTTGGAAAAAAAAAAAAAAAAAAAAAAAAACGTTTAGCCTACTCCGGGAAAATACGTCAAATATAATTATACTTTTTTGTCATATTTATACAAGTATAAAATGAAATCTAATATGATCTGTCGATAAGATTTAATGATAATAATAACAAAATTGCGAAATCGGTTGTGCTCATCTAGTCATCGACAGTGTGGATGATGGGGGGGGGGGGGGGGATAACTATTTTTGCAGTGAGTGTGGTTTTTAGAGACAGTAGTCGCATTTCTATGGTATTTCTTTGATTGCCAGGGTCACTTATGATTTCCTATATTTTCTTGGACATTCGTCTCTCATAAAGACTTTCTATTGATGGTAAGTCATTTTGAATTTAAATAAATTTTGACTGAAGGCGTAAAAACAGAATATTGAGGTTTGGCCATGAGTTTGTCTTTTCTTGTACATTACGCCCTCTATATACAACGAAAATGGCGAGGAAGGGAAGAGCATGAGAGTGTCAAAGTCGCAAAGGTAATACCAATTTTTTCACTGGCAAATGCAAACAAGACGAGGTTCTGAGATTAAAAGTTTGGTTAAGTCAGGTTAAGAAGATAAGTCGTGGTAAATAGTTGTGAAATGTTTCTTGTGTTAGTCGAAGTGACACTAAAGTTTACAAAACTTAAATTTTTAAAACTGTGATTATGTGAAGTGTACAAGTCCGAAGTAAAGAGAAAAATAAGTCAAAACATTTTTTCTTTTTGATCAAGATAGAGACTTGAAATTAAAGACACAGATAGCTACATGTATGAGTTTGAATAAACTGTTAAAAAATTTGATCTATCTGATTTAGGTCAAAAACTATTCAAGTTTTAGTGGCGCTATGTCTGCCAGTTTTCAGATGCTACATGTACTTTCAAAAATGAGTAAAAAGTTGCCCCACTTGATTTTCACTCATAAATAATGTCACAGAAACTTGAAATTTGTCGCATAATAAGTAAAGAAGCTAGGCATGAGTAGACAGTATAAGGTTTGATTATGGCATTTGCCCAGGCAGAGTAATGCGCATTTGAATTAGGCAAAGTGCTAGAATATTGGGCCGCAGATGGGTCTCACTTAAAATAAATAACTGGAAATAGTAAAAAATTACTGGAGTGCAGGACTCTGTTGAGGTAAAAAGCAGCCATTATTTTTAATTAGCTGATGAGGCCTAGATTCTGTTAAGTTTATAATCTCTTCTTTCTCTCTTGAAGAAGTATGGATTCTGAAGATTTGCAAAGAACATTTATGCTAGTATACAAGTGGATATATTTTCCACTACCTGACCAAACAGACAAAACGATGCAGGTGGATACCTAAACACCATACGGTAATGTGCCAAACAATTCGACCAAGATTAATGAATAAATTTCATGGCAATGTCAGTTTGGTCAAATTGATTAAAATACAGCAAATGGAAACCTTTGATATCGTCGGATTGTTAGGGGCATCTGCCAAAATGCCATCTTTCCGGAAGTATTGCATTTTACCGGAAGTGTTACGCAAGATTCGCCTAACACATGTTTGAGGCATGTTTTATCCTCCTTCTGAAATTTTATTTTGCTGTGTACAATATGTGCTAACTTTACTTAACATTAAGAAAGATGACAATTATAATTTCTAACTATATATTTCCCTCACCTTCGATCATTTTCATGATGCGCTTCACAAGTGGGACGAGTATTTCCCCGGAGACAGGTGTTGTAAACAAAGCCAAAGGCCGGTCACTTATATTTGAAACCGGTAGCTTTAGTGGACTTAAACTAGTTATGTGGTCTATGTACGCCCTGTAGCGTCCAATATCTTAACAAACGCAGGTTGTCTGTTTGAGCCTTTATTGATCCACTACAATAAGATACGTTCTGAAATAATAATAAATAAAGATACTTAACATCTATACTTCATGATCCTTTTCAATATGACTTACTTATATAATGACTGAATGTCACTGTTATTAAATCAATTTCTTTTATAAGTGCATTACAAAGTTAAGAAGAAACAAATTAATTCCAAAATTAAATGATAACATACATAAACTAGCTACTCACTAGACTTGTCTAGCCTCGACTTGTGAAACATGACAAAATACCGTATAACCTTTGTCTGCTGACACTGTAATAAATATAAAACAACTTCATGAAATTATGCAGCTAGCTGAGATAAACATACTCAATATCTAAGGAAAGAAAATAAACGTAAACTAACAGGCCTGACAAAGTTTGTTTGTTAACCACGCCTAATACATTCATGCATTATAACACGTGTTCTTAAAATGCCTTTACATTACTTGCAAATTTATATGCTAATTACGTAATGAGCTATAAAATAGGTCTAGTAACCAAGCAACATATATAAAATGAGTTTTAAGAAAGGACCGGGCAAATACATACTGTACTTATTTGTCTTTTTTTCCTACTTTCTCTTCATACGTGCGAGTGTTGCGTCCTCCGTGAATCTGAACGTGTGCACCTCTCCCAACTTACGAATCTCTTTCTTCTAAAGATCATTTTCTCAACCAAATACATAGCAATTGCACCGAATGCAGTATGTGAGACTACATGGTAATTACTTTCCCTTAAACACGGGATATAGAATTCTAGCCACTACACGCTCTATTTGAATTTTAATATGACAACTGAAATCAACCGAATTGAAATTTTTTACCAGTCTGCGATCAGTTGTTTTCAACCCGCAAGGCTTGCTCAGCGTCGAGGCGTAGACGCGTACGTACTTCCGAAGAAAATTCAATCACACATATCAAAGACTACCAACTGGTACTCAAACGGAAATCAGTGTAACTTCAAATTACTTTTAAGTATTTTATTTAAAAAGCATGTCATATTAAAACACATTGAGAAAAGGCAAAATACGAAGCCTTCCTGTATCGATAGACATACAGTATCTTGCTGGCACTCTTCCGATTTCCCTACTTATATACTCTCGCTGTGCACAAATCACGGTGCATATTGAAAACCCCACTGATATAACCCCATAATTTTCACAAAACAGGTGCATTTATAATTTGACGTGAGAATATTGAGCATATGCAGAAATGAGAGACTGGTCTTATCTGGTCTGCTGCTGCATAGCGCAAACCACATGTTAATGAAGACGGTCCCATTTTGGGGGGGGGGGGGGTCACAGGAATGGAGTTCTTCGTGGATTACGCTAAATATTATCAACATTTCATGCATAATAATAGAGAAATAATAGAAAGTGACTCACAGGTAACATAAATACCCAGTGGAACTCTCTATGAAGCTCCCATGGAGTTACTAAGTAAGGAAGACTTCATTTTTATTGTTGACAAATCAGTTATCCATGCAGGTGAACAGCTTCACGTGTTCGTCAGATTTTGACAGTGCGTGGTATTTGGCGCCAAGAAGTCTGGGCGGTCGATCCCACTGATCTTTGGTCTATTGTAGTAAATGTAAGATCTTGCGGTGTGGACTTCAAGAACGTTTCCCCATCTGCATATATATTTCAATCGAACTTTAAAATAAATTGCTTATTCTTCCCAAACTTTTTATTGCTAGCAAACGCTATATATGGTCTATATGAAGGTGTTTACGACGTATTCTACCCACTGTCGATATTTGTTTTCATCCAGAATAGACCTTTTTTTAAACCCCCCTCCCCAGTTACGGGCGTGATGAATCAGTCAGCGAGGGCAAGTCTGCTTAATTAGCACAATTTGTATGTCTATAAGCACTATTATTGTCATCGGGGACAAAGGAAATGACAAGTACGTCATGCTTCCAGATTAGATCTTCAATTAATTGTTTCTTCCTCATTGACGAGAGCTATTGAAAGGACAACAATTGACAAAGGGCCGAGGCATGCAGCATCTATTTCACTGGCTTGAAAATTTACCGAGTCTTGCCGACGATGTGGTCGAACAATCGGAACAAGAAAAAAATTCTGTCGCATGATTTTGACGTATGGACTAAATGTTTGAGCCCAGAAAAATTAATTTTATGAAATAATTTTTGTGGTCGGATTGACTGGGCCCGTCGAAATGCTTGGCACATTACCGTAGTTGCTTGAGTTAAAAATGATATTCAAGTTGATGTGTGAATTGTAAGGTAGTGTTCAGCCTGTTCCTTTCTTTTTCTCTTGTAGATGGGTTAAAACATAGGAAATGAAAATCTTAGCAGTGGTATGTGTCTGTGTGGTGATTTTCCATCTGGCATCAGCACAGACAAAGACGTGTTCACCAGGTAAGTATGGTGATTGTTGATTGTGGAATTTGGACAAAATTAATTACTAGTACTGTAATTATATTTCTCCCCAGCAAAATTTTTGTTAATAATACGATATAGACTTGATCAGTTTTACAGATACTATATTTTTAAAGCCATAAATTCTCAAAATAAAAACATTCCTATTGAGCAGTAGCAACACAATTGCAAAGCAGACTACCTAAAGTTACATAACAATGTTTTTGTAATAATTCCATTTTGAAATTACTGATAATTTTTCCCAGTTGAAATGATGGAGCCAATACCATACTTAGCCAGACCAATCTAAGTTGTTATTTTAGTGTATATTATACTTTTTTCAGTCACAACACTCTCCTTATACACGTAACAGTTGTACTAGTTATGTGCTTAGGAACCTTCCAGACATAAGTTGGGACCTGTTTCACACATGATTTCTTGATTTATTCCCACATTTATTGAATAGTTTAATAATCCATTTTTTGTCCATAATGAAACTTTTTACCAAGAACTGAACTTTGCAAATTTTCTATCTTTTATGTCCCGAAAACTGGCAGAGATACACCCAAAGTTACTGTTGAACTTGATTAGGAAGTCATATACTGGCAATCAGTGTTAGAAATTAAGGCTGGACCGTCTGCCCGAGGCAGACAACTTTCAGGACGGGCAGAGAAGTTTTCCCACCCGGCAGGCATTCTAGCTAATTTCCAAGATGGCTGAGCTTTCGGTCCAGCAACTTATTTTCCTAAGAGGCAAACACTGCTGGCAATCTAAGTATGACCTTGAAATTGAGCTTTGACCTACTTTTTTATGATGAACTGCACCTTGCATGTTTTCTGGCATTTATATCTCCAAAATTGGCAAAGAAATTCCCATGGTTACTATTGAACTTGAATAGGAAGTCATATACTGTGACCTTGAAATTGACCTTTGACCTACTTTTTCACTAAGAACTGAACTTTGCATATTTTCTTTCTCCTCATATCTTCAAAACTAGCAGAGATTTGCCCATAGTGTTGCCCAAAGGTTTACTCTTTTGTCAGCATACTTCAGATGCAACAATGAGAACACATTTCAAGGAAAACCAATAGGTCTATTGTCTAGAAAATCACAGGAGTGATCAGTGTTAGGATAATACAGGTCAATTCCAAAATCTGCATGATTGGACCATTTTTTGTAATTTTTTTTTTTACATATTTTGAGAACTCTTGTTGATTGCATTTTATAGAGCTTGTTAAGCACAAGACTGGAGGTTGTGTCCCTTTTTTTTTGGTTTTCCATATGAATGCGCTTCCTCCAGCTGGTGGTACAATATCCGGAGGCAGAATCGCCTCTCTGATCCTGTAGTTAAATGCAATTTTAAACAGTCAATAGTCCATTTGTAATGCAAACAAATATCATGGAATGCCCCTTCAATCTTTTTTTTCTTTTTAATTAAAGGTTCGGATGTGAAGAATGGTATTTGTACCCCGTGTCAACCTGGCCGTTTCCAGTCAAAAACTATTCCCATCACTGATACAACAACAAGATGTGAGTACAGAACAAAATGTAATGCAAGTGAAGGAGGGTATCAAATCAAAGAAGGCAGTGCAACAGAGGTTTGTTTCTCTCTCTCTCTCTCTCAGCACACTAATATCTAGACATAAATGACCTATGAAGGGTCTGTTGTTTGTCAGAAATACCATTTCTGCCCTAGAAATTTTGATAAAAATTGTAGCACAAAAGCGACAGACCATAAGGCTTAGTCTAGAGTGATAAAAATGTGCAGATTTGAGGAGGGGAGATATTCCATCTTCTTTTTGAATATTTATGTCACACTGCATTTCAGGATAACCACTGCTGGTGCAATGAGAGTATGAGATATGTGCCCCGCAATCCTAAGGCTTGTAAAGATCCTGAGAACAGGACCTCGTCTAGTTGTGTTTGTATAAACTGTCATGAGGAATGTGTTGTGACAAAGGATGAAAATGGAGGTATTGTATTGTTTTACTGATATTCTGTTAAAAAAAAACATATCAGGGGATAGCCTGTTAACCATATAAGGTGAGAGTCATAACCAGTAAAGTCATAAGCAGCTGTTTGACCTGATTGGCTGGCAAAAAGAGGCAAGGTGATAATAAACAACATGCAGCTTTGAAGGAAATGGTGGTGGAGTTATGAACAGCCTGTGTTACCAAAAGTTTCTCTTAACTTGATCATTCATAAGTTCCACAAAAGTTTCATTGTTATGTGCTGGTGCTCTTGTGATATAAAACATATGATTTTATGATTACACCAATGTTAATAAATATAATGCATCTCATCTTAAAGGATTATATGTAAATGGATTATTCTGTTTTGCAGATTATTTGGAAAGATACAAGTGCACTGTTTGTGATAGGTAAGTTTTTATGTAAAATATTGCTTCTGATTATCTACTTTGTCCAAGTTATAATTTATCATTTCCTTCAAAGTTAATAATTGAAGTGGTAATTTTGTACAAAATTATTTTTTCAGTAATATACATAATTGTTTGCTAGATTTAAAAGTCTTGAAAAATTGAAAGGATTTGAGATGAAAATTGCATTTTGATGAACCATTAAAATTATTATGATGAAATATGGGAAATATAGGATATTAGAATAAGTGAAGTATTTGAAAATTTTACATAATTAACATATGGCCCATTTCTACTGTTATCATCTTTTATATTCATGAATTTACCCTGAAAAAAAAAACATTTCATGTTGGACATGTGGAAAGAGATAATTTTTTCTAGCTTATTATTGAAGGTTGTATCCTGTATTGTGGTTGTATAATGTTGACGGTATATTTGAACAGTATGTCATACTTTGCAATGATTTCAGTGTTACAACGGCAGTGCCTCCTATATTAACCCCATCACCTGTGTCTTCAGGACATGTGGCCATTGGAGTCGCAGTGTCCATTGGCATTTTTGCGATCTTATGTATTGTTTTTGGAATCATTTTGTATGTCAGAGGAGGTAGGTGGTGGTGATTGTTAAATGCCTGATTGTGTTTGAGGGCAAAGCCCTAACAGTCATATTTATTTTATGCCATATTATCTAATCTTTCCCAATTCAAATTCTAAAGATAATAAATCTCTGGAAATTAAAGTTAAATAAAGCGTGCTAAGTGCCCTGAATATCTACCAAGCCTCTTTGGGTATACGTAGTTACTGCCATCTTGCTAAGTCTGTATAACACACAGCACTGGACACAAAACAACTCGCCATTTTCTTGTGTGAAAACTAGGCAATGCGCATGGCAGAAGATGCCATACTTCTAGACTTGCCTGTCATTTTAAACTAAAGTATTATATTAAAAGTAGAATAAAACATAAATCAAAATGCAGGGATGAGACGAGCAATGATTCCTAAATAAGAGAAGATTGCTCTTTGCCCGAGGAAAACTCATTTTTTTGATATGATCTTGTTGAATATTTTAAGGGATGAATTTTGGCTGAAGCGAAAACTGACTTGAGCACAAATGTTTTTTTGCAAAAAGAACAGTTAGTTGAAAGGAATTATATTGTCTAGAACAATGTCATATTCTTGAACTGATACTCATATGATACCTATTCTAGAGTCAACAGGAAATGGTTTATTACAATTTTGTTTACTTATCACTGTTTAAATCTGTTGAATAAATACTATATATTTGATATTTCAGTACCTCAGTGGTTACAGGAATTTTGTGATCCTATATGTGGTAGATGTTGTCAGTGTTGGGCATCTGTTAGCAGCAATAGCGAAGGTGAGTTCTCATATTAATGACATACAATGTGCATTACACCTTCATACAGCAAAAAAAGAAGATCTGAATACTCCCAGATAACATAATTTTATTACATTTTTCCTTAAAGGCAGGACCACAACTTCTGCAATGTCGGGTACATCTTCTGCAACACACCATGATACTACAGATAGTGGAGTGAGGGGTGAGTCCAAGATGGAGTTAAGAGTTGGTGGTTTATCCATTGTCTTCTATAACACCTCTAGTCAACTCTCCTTCATAAGGGTGTCTTGTGAGAGATTGAATTAAAGTGCTAGTAAGTAATAACTTTAAGAAATAACTTTTAACATTGAATCATAGGTGTAGTTATAACTGTCTTTCAACTGTTGTTTGAAAAATATAAAATTGTAAAGTAAAGCACACTGTTGATTTATTTTATTGTTGGGTCTTATAAGTAACAGAATTTGATTATGATTCTCTTTAAAGATGGGAAGCCATCTTATAGCAGACAGCCTAGTGCAGTTGCATTGCTTTGTGGTGAATCTAATGGAGAGATTACTGAATTATTTAAGATCAAACTCAGAGAATTGTGCTCAGGTAAGTAATTTTTCATTTCTTACAAGGCTACCATAGGTATGAGACTCTAATATGTAAAGATTGATAATTTCTTGGAAATTCTTTGGAAATTCTCCAGATACTCCTCAATCACTGGGATCATGTTATTAACAAGGTTTTGAGTTCTAAATTTGTAATGTTAATTTTTTTAATGTGAAATGCACTTGTCTCTATATATTATTAATCTGCATCATGAGGGTAACGTAAAAAATAGAAACTTAGAACACGAAAATGGGTTTATCATAATGTTGTGATTGGATGCAATAAACAGTATGCTTTAGTGATAAAAATCTAATTGTGTGTTAGAAGGTAAAGGTGGTGATTTAGTGGTGCAAAAATGTCCATATAATCAGATTTTTTGCCTGCTTAGAATGTGCGCTTTACTTAAAATGTTTACTTTGGCCTGCTTTGCAAGGTCGCAGAATTTTTATTGAGAAAAAATCAGATAGAACGTAAGTTTTAGATGTTTTTGTGGCATTTTTAAAATCTCACCGAAGTGACTCACAGAAATATGTTGGCCATTTGTAGTTATACCTGTATCAGTGCACATATATTATATATTTACTAGATAATGTTAAAATGATCAAGAAGAATTTCATCAGCTGTGTTATGTTATAAGAATGATGTGATTTTTTCTTCAGTCAGCAGTTTTCTTAAGACAGTAGATGGGGGGGGGGGGGGGGGGCAAGTATATCTCCTGAATAGAGGCTATTCACCTGGATAGCCTCATTCCCTGATGAAGACGTCCGCTAGACATCGAAATATTGGTGGTATTAGCTGTTAACTGAAGAAAGAAATCTCTGCCACATTGTTCTTAAAATGATCGAGGATTTCAGGTCCAAACCTTTACAGAATACACTCACTCTCTAGAATCTTCTTTATTGGTTTGCAGATAAGCACATTGAAGCTCATTTCTGTGACTTACTCCAAAAGGTAGGAGCCAATTGGAAATTCTTAGTTCGTCCAGGTTAGTAAGTACAAAGATTTTGTTGCACATATGCTCTAAAATTGAGTAATAAAATGTAATATGGGGGGAGGGTCTGAAACATGCAAATTTCAGAATATACAATTTTCATTCTGTTAAAGATATATTTTTCTAGAAAAAAATTATATAATTTGTGGAATGATTAGAATAATGTTTAATTACATTCTTTTCTGTTTAATATATCTTTTACAAATTTATGTAGGGATCTATTATGATTATGAAAGTTTCACCAGATTTATGAAGAGACTCTGAATATGATAATTATTTAATTAATGCGGGTAGCAGAAATTGAAAATTTTCCCTAAAAGTGTTTGACTTCTGGTTATTTGTCATATATATATTCAATTGTCAACAATTCATGATCTGAAACTCTCTGAAATGATGTGGTAAGATAATATTTTTGCATGACATCCAGATCTTGAAGATATTGATATACAAGCCCTGGAACATGATCATAGAGGCTTGAAGGAGATTGTCTACCAGGCTATCAGGCAGTGGTATGAAAAAATGTCAGGAGAGAGTGTACAGTTTGTCCTGGACCGCTTGGAGAGGGAGAATGTTGGGAAAGGAGACTTGGCTGACAAAATAAGGAAGGACAGTGTTTTGATGAGGTGAGCTGAATATAATTTTTGTTGAAATTATTCAGTTTTGATAACAATGATTAAGATAATATTTAATGTTTAGAGCCTACATTCCATCAAAGATATTAAGAGACTGTATATATAAATGTCATTCATAATAAAAGTAGTCATAATTAAAAGTCACTTAAATTATTTTGCCAAAATGTCCATAAAGACTGATAACCATTAAATACTACAGATATTGATACTGTCCAAATATCATTTTTTCATTTTTTTTCCTCAAGTATGAGAAGACATTCTTTATTTTTATAAGTTGTGCTATTTGAAACTGGAATTATATCAGTTTATAGGCAAAGATTTTACTTCATAATTATGTAACTTTAACAAGTCAAAGTGAAAACTTGACAGACTGTCAGACAGACAGACACACAGACAGACACATTTACGTCTAGACATATAGTATGGGGCTTGCAGGTTGCTTCAAGTATTTCTACATTTTGATATCCTTATCATTGTGATAATTTCTATGAAACACTTTATTCCAGAACACTTGAGGAAATATATGCACGAAAGAGTTCTAAAAAAGGCAGCAGGACAGGTACGATGCGATCAGGCTTTTGCATGAAACGCCTACAAACAGTGTTAGACAGTTTGTCACTGCGTAAAGGTAACGCAGTAAATGAAGGTAATACTGTTTTGAGCACCTTGGCTGTTGTACACTTCACAAATAAAATAAAGAAATGAGGCTTATTGAGGCTATATGCGAACGTGTAAGAATGTACAGTAAATGTATAAAATCAATAAGCGGATATCATATGGAAAAAATGGGTCAAAAAAGTGTATCATGCCTTCATACATTTTACCAGCTGTTTATTTTTTGAACTGAATTTCTAATCCACATTTTAAACTTACAGTGACATCTAATGGCAGTCAGGCGACCGGTGATCTGTCCGTGAACGATAGACATGATGACAGGGGTATCCCCTCTGTGCCTCCCCCTGATGTAAACCCATCTTCACGTCCATCAAGAGCTGCAGGTAGGTTTGTGCTATATAACATCTTATTGAAATCTGCTCAGGTCAGATTGAAATTTCAATCTACTGAACTCAAATCAAGTCCACGTGCTGAAGGATTAACCAAATCTATCACTCTGTCAGACCAAAAAATCCAGTTAAACTACACTTGTTTCAAATTTCTGCTCATCAACTTGATCTCTCAGTATGTCCCTCCAGTTTGTTAAGTCTGCCAAATGATATAAGTTATGTAAGGCTTAGAGCATAGTGATTGATTGAATGAGAGTTGGCATGAAATAGGGTTATGTACTGCACATAAAGTAAGCAGATACTTGTTCAAATATTTTTTCAAGAAATAATAAAACCCTGTGGTATTTTGTAAAGTTATGGTGTTTGAAACTATATGGTGGCATTTGTTTTGTTAATTTGACACCCCTGCTTTCTTTGCACAAAATTATGATTGTTTTTTTATTTGCTCAGGGGATATGATAGAATATGAGAACTCTCCTCGTCCTGGATACAAGAGTTCACACCCCTCTATAAATGAAGTGAAGATAGGAGAAGAAGGAAAAGGAGATGGAATTGGTAAATTATAGATTTCTTCTTTTCCTTAATTTTATTTTTGTTACTTGCTGTTTATCCTGCTAATAGGCTCTTTCAACTACACACACACACACACACACACACACACACACACACACACACACACACACACACACACACACACACACACACACACACACACACACACACACACA